CACATTGTATCTGGTGATGGAATTAAAGTTGATACTCGGAAAATTGAGGCAGTGCAGAATTGGCCTAGACCCACATCTCCAACTGAAATTAGGAGTTTCTTGGGATTAGCTGGCTATTATAAAAGGTTTTTTGAGAGGTTATCATCTATTGCATCTCCTTTGACAAAGTTGACTCAGAAGACAGTGAAATTTCAATGGTTTGAAGCTTGTGAGAAAAGCTTTCAGGAATTGAAAAAGAGGTCGATTACTACTCCAGTGTTGACTTTACCAGAAGGTACTCAAGGTTTTGTGGTGTATTGTGATGCATCTAGAGTTGGTTTGGGTTGTGTCTTAATGCAGAATGGCAAAGTTATAGCTTATGCCTCCAGACAGTTGAAAGTTCATGAGAGGAACTACCCGACCCATGACTTAGAGTTGGTTGCTGTAGTATTCGCCTTGAAGATATGGCGTCATTACTTGTATGGTGTTCATGTTGATATATTTACTGATCACAAGAGTCTTCAATATGTGTTCACTCAGAAAGAGCTTAATCTCAGACAGAGGAGGTGGTTAGAATTACTCAAGAATTATGACCTGAGTATTCTTTACCACCCAGGTAAGGCTAATGTTGTTGCTGATGCTTTAAGCAGGTTGTCTATGGGTAGCACCACCCATATTGAAGAAGGGAAGAGAGAGTTAGCAAAAGATGTGCACAGACTGGCACGCCTGGGAGTGAGACTTATGGATTCTATAGAAGAAGATATAACAGTAACGAACGGGGCCAAGTCATCATTCATGTCAGAAGTGAAAGAGAAACAAGACTAAGATCCCATTTTACTTGAGTTAAAGGCAAATGTTCAAAAGCATAGAGTATTAGCTTTTGAACAAGGAGGAGTTGGTGTTTTGAGGTATCAAAGTAGATTGTGTGTACCTATGGTAGATGGACTCTAAGAGAAGATTATGGAGGAAGCTCATAGCTCCAGATATTCCATTCATCCGGGTTCCACAAAGATGTATCGTGACTTGAGAGAAGTTTATTGGTGGAATGGCATGAAGAAGGACATTGCAAAGTTTGTGGCTAAGTGTCCAAATTGCCAGCAAATGAAAGTTGAGCACCAAAGGCCCGGTGGTTTGGCTCAGAGGATAGAACTTCCGAAATGGAAGTGGGAGATAATCAATATGGATTTCATCACAGGGTTGTCAAGGTCTCACAGACAGAATGATTCTATTTGGGTGATTGTCAAACCGAATGACAAAGTCAGCTCATTTTCTACCGGTAAAGACTACCCATTCGGCAGAAGATTATGCCAAGTTGTATATTCAAGAGATAGTGAGACTTCATGGAGTCCCAATCTCCATTATTTCAGATAGAGGTGCACAGTTTACTGCACAGTTCTGGAAATCTTTTCAGAAAGACTTAGGTTCAAAGGTGAACTTAAGTACTGCATTTCATCCTCAGACTGATGGGCAAGCAGAGCGCACTATTCAGACCTTAGAGGATA